AACCGCTTAGAGAGGGCTGAAAGCCCTATGAAGCGGTATATAAGTCAAACTGCTATTGCTATTGCTATTCAGAAAGCTGCTCATCCAGATCATCTCCCCAAAGAATCTTATCTTCCCCTCTGGCTTTCCTGGCTTCGAAAAGGATGCTGTCCAGGACAATTGACCCCATGGTTGGCTGATAGGTCAGGCTGTGCGTGCCTGTCATGGAAACCTATCATACTTGCTATATGCTCCATTGCTCGACAGGCGTAGCCAGCGAGAGGGGAGGCAAGGTGGAGCCAGGTTCAGCTGGGGAGGGGCCAGAGGGCCCCCCTCTCTCCTGGGTTTTGCGTGCTCCAGGGTTATCGCCTTCCCTTTTCACAAAGAGTGGAGAAAGAGTTGGATATTGGATTGCTTTACTACACGTCATTTTTTTTCAACTGTTTATAATATTCTTCTGTGTCTACATATTTTTTCTGTGCACATTATTCATCAGAGTAAAAAAAGGAACTATGACAGCCTCGAACAACTATCCTATGACAGCAAGCGAGGACCCAAGGTATATTTGCATGGACAATGCACGCCGCCCACCAACCTTAGCAAAATGATGAACTTGGCCACAGGCACAAGGAAAAATTAATTAAAAATCGGAATCAGAATCAAAAAAAAAAAAATGTACCGAGCAAGCGAGCAAACTCCATGTTTTTGGTAGCACGTTATTTTATGTTGGGATAAGTTTGTTTGACCCTGAGAATGGAAATGTAGCAAGCCAGCCCTGGAAATATTTGTTTTGGAGACATGCATGTAAAGCAATAATCAACTTGCAAGTATTTTTTTTCTTTCTTTCTTGAAAAATTGAACCAATCCCTTCCTGCTGTCCTTTCCTTTCCTCTTCTCCCACCCCCACACCCCCTGCCAAAAAGAAATGGTTCCTTGGTGTGAAACTTTCACTTTGATTCCCCACGTCCCCAAGATGAACCTTGTGCATTTTCAAAAATTTTGAGTTTCCCCTGGTTTATCGTTTTGGTTTTGTTTTTCTGAAAAACAACACTGGTTTGAGTTTTCAATTGCATTGCAAATAAACAAATATGTATCGATGATACTTATATATATCTATATATCTATGCCTTTTTTCCTCTTTTCTCTACAAATGCACGCCTCTCTTTGAGTCTTGAGTGACTGCATGCACAGTGCAAAAGTTTTTTTAAAAAAATTAAAAGAGAAAACAGTATCGATTGATATCAAAGAAAGGGGAAAAAGCCCTAAGAGCAAAAGAAAAGAAAGAAAAAAAAGAGAAAAGAAAAGAAAAAAATAACTTCCCTCTGCCCTTCCTTTCCATGCCTAGCAGTGCTTTGGAAGAGGGATGGAATTCTCTCTCCTAGGAAGCATGGTTCTGACTCAGCTTTCAGGCCTTTGCACTAATCCCTCTTGCTCACACCAATTGCAGGCTGAGAAGGTGCTTCAGTTTGAACCAGGAACAAAAAACGTGACTTCACTGCTGCTGGAAGCCAAAGAACTGGAAGCTCGGGTGATTATCCTCTCCGCAAGGTAAGAACTGCACCTAACCGCCAACTGCCTTTCAGCATCCAGGCCTCAGGCGCAGATGCTGGAGACGCTGGGCGCAATGATGCCCCGCCCCCTGATTCCTGGGGGTCCTTCCTGTCCTGCACCACCGAGAAGCAGTAGAAGCGAGGTAAATGATGCACCGGATGGGAATCAGATTGGTTACTGGCACAGTTTACAAGGGGAACCCCAGGCCCACAGACGGGGCAGGAAAGAGATGCCCACCTGGCCAGGTGACAACAGCTCAGAGTCCAAAGTGAGGGGCTGTAGAATGGGAGCAGTCCCACCAGAACCAGCACCACCATCCTTCCAGCGACCAAACCCTTTGGCTTCCTTTTGGGCTCCCCCAGCCCTCCCACAGGAAACTGCAGAGGGGGTCTACTCCCTTCTACTCCCCCTCTCTCTCCTGGGTGCTAGCCACACACAATCAACGGATGGATGGATGGATGGATGGATGGGGCTGAGAGCACAGCTCAGCCCAGCAGGCAACGCCCCCCTGCCTAATATTCTGAATACAAGGATGTTCTCTGCCCTGAGACCAGGAACAGACAGGCATGGCACAGGTGCCAGTGGTGCTCCCGAGGCAGGCCAGAAAGGAGAGCAGGCCAGCAGCTGCCCAAAGAGCCACTGCATCGCCAGGGACAGGATCGAGATCGTAGGACCTGGTAGCCCCTCCAGGCTTCCCTGCTCAGACCACGCCTGGAATATCCTGTCCAGTGCTGGTCATCCCCGTACAAGGAGGACCTCCGGAAGGGATGCTGATCAAAGCAACCCAGGGGGGAGGCCAAACCCTCTGAAGAGTAGTTAAGGGAGCCGGGTGTGGCTGGCCTGGAGGAAGATTCCAGTAGATAAAGGACTGTCCCAGGGAAGAGGGGCCCGCACATTCTCCCCAAAGCGCCCTGATCACAGGGCCAGAACCAGTGGTGGGAGCTTTACAGAGGGAGAACCAAGCTCAAAATAAGGGGGAATGTCCTGACCTGTCAATCCAGAGGAATAATCTGCCACCTGGAGCTACCGGGGGGGGGGGGGCATCCCTGGAAGATTTTGCAAGCCAAGATTGGCCAGCCGTTGGTCTGGGATGGCCTGAGGATTCCTGCCCTGGGAAGGGGGCTGGACTAGAAGACCTCTGAGGGACCTTCCAATGGTAGACAATGATTCTATGGTTCCAAATTTCTGGATTTCTTACCGGAGCTAAAATTAAAAGTTACCCACCGTTTAAAGTTCAAACTTCTTTCCAAGAAAAGTATTGCAATCCTCCGCACGTCTACTCAGAATGAAGTCCCGCTGTGTTTGATAGCCCTGCATTTTAAAAATTGAAAGGATTATACTTCCAGTCCCTTGAACATGTTAACTCCAACTCTAAAATTCTAAATTGAGGAGCCAAGTTATCTATGAGCTCTGAGATCATTACATAAAGAGAATGAATTGCTGAATGAAACATACGATTCCACGCTTTTGCAGTTACTGACATAATTCATGCAGAGCGATTCACCCACCCGGCACCTTTGCGACTGGCTGAAGGGGAAACCGGAAGCTAAGGACTGAAAGGTTCAGCTGGGTGGCTCCCCTGTAGAGAAAGCCTCCAGGGTTCTGTAGGGGGAACCCCCCTCTGTTTCTTTCTACCCAAAGGGAGTGTTAAGAGAAAGACCCTTGCGAGAGTCTCCCACCTTCCCCAACTCCAGAAATGTTCCAAGAGAAAGCAGGGCCTTGAGGAGCCTTGGCTGCCCTCTCCCCAAAAAGGGACAATTTCACTAGCCTACTTGCCATTTGGCCCTGATCTTCTCAATCCCTGGGATCACCAACCATCCAATAATTGGCCCCTTCAGTCAGACAGTCTGTGAGAGCATTCTTTCCTAAGGCCTCCCTCCCGAAGTGGAATGAACTACCCCCAGAGATCCGGATCCTACCCACCGGATCCTACTCACTCTCATGGCCTTCCGAAAAGCTATCAAAACCTGGCTATTCCGGCAGGTCTGGGGCTGTTGCCCTCTTGACCGAGGTCCAGCCCCGCTTAGATTGGGTGCATGATGTGTTTCTTTTAATCTGCTCTCATTCTGTCTGTTTTTTTAACCTTTTTTCTTAAAATTTTATTTCTGTAAGCCGCCCGGAGTCCTTCGGGATTGGGCGGCCTATAAATTTAATAAATAGAAATAGAATAGAATTAGAAGTGGGCCCAAGGCAGACCAATAGCCTGCACTGGAGAAGCCTCCGGGAGCTTCCCTCTCTCCCTGGGGTCTCCACAAGGGCTTCCCTTGGCAGAAGCGTCCACGGAGGGGAGCACTAAGGAAGGGCAAGGGGTTCCTTGCCAGTGCCACCTCTCTTCTCTTCCAGCGAGGACGATGCCACCACCGTGTATATGGCAGCAGCCAAAGAAAACATGACTGGTCCGGGTTACGTATGGCTGGTGGGAGAAAGGGAGATCTCGGGCAACGCCTTGCGCAATGCGCCAGAAGGTACCCATCCTGCTCCCGACCATCCTCTCAAGCCACGCAGCTTCTGGTCCCGAGGGCCTTCCTCTCGGCCGCCGGGCGGGCTCTGCTGACCTGTCTCTTCTGGGTTGCCAGAGGAGGGAATTGACAAGATGGGGGGGAGGGTCAGCAGGAATGGGGCAAACTGCAGCCATGCCCCGCCCGGTGTGGGCAGAACAGAGAGATTCATCTTCCCCTGTTTATCATGTCATGCGGGAAGAACAACCAGGTGGCTCAGGAACGAAGGCCAGGCGCAGAGCCTCCGGGATCAAAGGCAGTCCCGCTCAGACAAGCAGATTCTGGGGGTGCAGGAGGGGGTGTAAGAGGCTCAGAAGCCCCAGAGGCCAGCGGGAACGGAGCTCCCCTGCGGGGGTCTCCTGAGTCTCTTCTCTTCGACCCTTCCAGGACTGATTGGCCTGCAGCTCATGAACGGGAAGAACGAATCCGCTCACATCAGAGACGCCGTAGCCGTGGTGGCCCAGGCTGTGCACGACTTGTTTGAGAAAGAGAACATCACGGACCCTCCCCGGGGCTGTGTGGGGAACACAAACATCTGGAAGACGGGGCCCCTCTTCAAAAGGTAGTAGCGGGAGGCCCGCCATTCAGGCCGTGGGTCCCAGCAACTCCGGGAGGAGGGAGGGAGGTCCAGCTGCGTCGCGGGGCGTGTTCCAAGCGCTCACCTATCTGCCCAAGACCGCCCAGAATACTTTCCCCCAGACCCTCCCCCCCCCCCAAGAGGCGAAGGGGGCAGAAAGGCAGCCTGCAAAGCCTAAAGGAGGCAACTCCTCTTAGGGTGCTGATGCAGACCAAATATGCAGAAGGCGTGACTGGCCGGGTGGAGTTTAACGAAGACGGGGACAGAAAATATGCCAACTACAGCGTCATGAATCTCCAGAACAACAAACTGGTGCAAGTCGGAGTCTACAACGGGAGCCACGTAGGTGTTCAGCCCATTCCTTTGACCTTCCCGTCCCTTCCTTTCAGCTCTGGGAAGGAAGGCCCTGGGCTCTGGGCCTCCCGTGGGTTTCCAGAGCATTAAAGGCAGCCTAAACGCATGCCGCCCCTCCGCCCCACATCCTGCCCGGCCATCACTAGAAGCTTCTGCCCAGTCCTGCCTTGGCGGAGCAGTTTGTAACCGTCGTGCCCGAACTGCCCCTTCACAGTTTCTGCCCAATGACCGGAAGATCGTCTGGCCGGGAGGGGAGACAGAAACGCCGCAGGGCTACGAGATGTCCACGAAACTCAAGGTAGGGTGGCGATGCCCAGTTGGCCTCAGTGGGGAGAAGCTCTGTGGCCTCACTCCCAAGAGGGGAATTGAAGCCGGCTTCTGGAGGAGCTGCCCTGCTGGGTCCACCCAAGGGGGAGAAAGGCAGGGAGAGCATCCGAGGGCTGTCACTGGGAGTCAGCCAGGTGGGGGTGGGTGGGGGGGATAGTGGTATGGGGAGGGGGCTTGCTGTGGCTCCCGCCTTCCCTGCTGAACCTTCCTCCTCCCGAGCAGACTGCTCCTCGGAGGCCACAAGCCTTTCCGGCCTCTCTCTCCACAGATAGTCACAATCCACCAGGAGCCGTTTGTCTACGTGAAGCCCACCCTGGCCGACGGGAAGTGCAAGCCGCTGCTCAACAGCACGGGGGGTCTGGTGCAGCAGGTGCTCTGTACGGGGCCCAATGAGACCTTGCCAGGTGAATCCCTCGGCCCAGAAGCTAAAGCCACATTCCCCCACCCCACCCCCCTCAAAAACAGACCCTCCACTCCCAGGTGAAGGACTGCGACTTCTCCATTTCCTCTCCATTGGCAAAATTCACCGCCAGCAACTTCATAAGTTGAATAGTGAGGGGACCCCCCCCCCCATTTTCTTCACTTGCTTCCACTAAAGTTGGATAGTTTTCTTTGGAACGAAGAGGAGGGCTTTAGATCAACATGCAAAATATTTACATGGCTGTTGTGTAAATTTAGTTCGAGAAGCCTCGTTCCTCCCAGCGTTTCCCTGCCCTTATCCCCACCTTCTTCTCAGCCACCTCACAAAGGGAAACAGGAAGCAGCTATCCTGAAAGCTGCCTAGTGCACATGGGACCTGGAGTAGGATCTTCGGGGGGTCCATCTTTCCCTTCCTTTCCTTTCCTCCCTGCAACACAGGGCGCCCCAGCGTGATGTTATGCTGCTACGGCTTCTGCATCGATTTACTCATCAAGCTGGCGAAGACGATGAATTTCACCTACGAAGTTCATCTAGTGGGTGACGGTAAATTTGGCACGCAAGAACGGGTAAGAATACGGCCTTCCCCACCGTCTAAGGGGAACTGAGCCAAAACAGCCGCAGTGGGCAGTAGTCCTCAATTTGCTTCGGATTTATAACTCTTGCTGATTTTTCAAAGGGGGTGGCAAGTCATTGTGTCCTCCCCAACCACCCTAAGTCAACCTCTGGAGGTTGGAACCGTCAGCATCCAATCAAGCTCAGAAACATCTGCTTAGTTTCAGTTTAGAGGGAGGGTCGGGGGGGGTGAATGACGGGGTTTAAGCCCAAAGAGAGGCCGGCTTCCAGAACAAGTGGATTAGCAATAGCAATAGCAGTTAGACTTATATACTGCTTCATAGGGCTTTCAGCCCTCTCTAAGCGGTTTACAGAGTCAGCATATCGCCCTCACAGT